AGTCTCGGCATTTCAATTACGTTTCCCTCGCAATCAATCACACTCAAAGTTGGGAAAAGCTCTCCTCTATGCTATATCCTGGAAGCGGGAGAGTGGAAAAACATTTTGCATTTCCCTCTCTAAGTTATGCTAAGTGATTTACTCATTGATCATTTGTCTGAAGTATCGGGCATTTATATGAACTTTTGATTTGATTTTGACCCTCCGAAATGTGACAATCTACTAATTTAAGGTTATAACTAAAAGTATTCCATCTTCGGATTAAATAAGCTGTTTCACTCACTTCTAGTGCCTTCCATATTTACGAGACTATTTTTTGGGCTAACATAAATAATGCCCCATGGATTTAAGCACTTACCTTGCACAATTTTCTTATAATTTGTTATGCCAGTTGCTGGCCAAACTTTTAATTCAACAGCAAAACCCGAATGAATAAAATTATGCCAAGGCAAATGAATTAACACTTTTGGGTATACATTCTTTGGGACTGATCCCCCCTGGCCCAGCATCCGTTTTCCGTGTTCCCCTGCCCCGTTCTCTACAACTTTTTGATATAATTCCTTTGGCTGAAAAGTTTTCCGAGAGAGAAAAGGGGAAAAGAGCCGGGCTCTACCGGAACTTCCGTGCACTGCTCAAGTTCTGGGCCGTCGCATCGCCTTGGCTGAAAAGAATCTCTTCCGCTCCTGCTGCCGTTGCCACAGCCCCCTTTCTAGGGGGTGTGGGGGCGTGGCAGCAAAATAAATTTGTATTGTTTTGTCTGCGGGGTGAGAGGCGAGGCCAAAGAGCAAACAATGCGAGAGCTGTGAGAGCTCAAAAACCGCAGCCACTAAATGCATTACGTGAGGAGAGGAAGGAGAGCAACGGAGAAAATGCTGGGAAAAGCGGTGAAAAGCTGGGTGTTTCCCTCCTCTGCGGCTACACTGTAACGGCTTTTGTGTGCGGGTGTGGGCGAGTGTTGGGTTTGGCATTGTTTTCCTGCATGGATATCCTTAATGAGTGAAACTGGGCTGCCTCCGCCTCCAGAGCAACAGCAGCTGCCGCCCACAGCACAGCAGCCAGCCATCATAATTACCCCTCCCACGGGGCAACACCCTCCGCCACTGGACGCAAAACCCAGCTGACAAACACACTCGAGGTCCTGGCACTCAAGAAACCCCAGTCCGGGAGCAATACGAATTCCTGGCGGGGGACTTTACAGCTTCTTCGTATCTCTGACCACATGAGCACATAAATCTTTGCCCGGAACCACAGTAGTTGGAGAGGTGTCAAGGAATGCGGAAACTTTTTATGAAATATGTGTTGACATCGAGAAATCTATTTATGAATTAAAGGTTTTATTAATTAGTTGCAGATTATATATAGTGTTAGCTTATGAATACATATTATAAGCGTAATAGATTTAAAATTCACAAAATCATTTAAAAATATTCTCTATTCAAACTTTAACTTAATCTTAGAACCTGTAAATATTCCAACTTATAGTTCTTTCTTACATTTTCCAAATTGTTACCATTTTCTTACAATATTCCCCATAGGTTTCGTCCCACTGTAAAAGGACCCCATCGTTATGGCTGTGTAATTATCATGATCACTTTTCAACATTACCAAAGCGAGGAAACTTTTATATTAAAAGTAAACTTATGACAAACGAGCAAAGGAAAGGAAGCAACCGAGGCGGGGGCTGGAAAACAACAGAGGAGAAAAAATGGAATCCTGGACAGGACTCAGACAAACACCCACGCACGTGGGGTGCCCATTGTCAAGTGTAATTTATCATTCAGTCAACGTCCTTCGATTGCAGTTTATCTTCCGAACTTACTTTACTGGGTCGTCACTGTAATTTCTCTTGCCTCTCCATAGAGAGATATATACATACATATATCCTGCTTCCTTATCTGGAGTTCCCTCTTGCTCGAGTCCGACTCTCTCTCTCTCTCTCTCTGTAGCTTCCTTTTGCACTGGCCACGGTGGCCGGTTTCCCTTTTCCCACGAGTAAAAGCAAAAGGAAAGTATATTAGGGGAACAACAAGGATATTCCCTCAGAGTTGTTATTGTCCTGGCAGAGAATGAATGGGAAATCAGGAAAATCTGACCCCCAGGTTGTTAGTTTCCTTGCAAGGATTTTTAAAGCCAATGGGAGCAAAATAGCAATTAACATGGATTTTGAAGCATCCACCTCAGCTTCCCCATTCCTCCCTCCGTCTGGCAATAATCGGAAATAATTGAAGAAAAGAGGGTAGAACAGGAGCAGCACAAAAAAAAGAAAATACTTATCGCAAGGAAAAGATAGGAAATGGGGCGAGGGACACGTCCCTTTGAAGGATGTTTGTATGTGCAATTTGTAACGTTTTAATTGTTGTTTATGCGATCTAGAATGGATTGGCCCCATCGGGGGGAGGAGGAGCTGCACCGCCGCAAGCCACTGAGCTAATTTTGATTGCGGTACAGGTGAGTGGCATCTGTAGGTGAAAGACGACGATGACGACGAGGTTCCTAATTAACTATGCCACTGATGTTTGGTTCAATTCAGCAGATTGGCTGCAAATGCGGGTTAGCAGGATGCTTAAATGGTTAATACCTTTGGGGAATACAAAGCACGAGTCCTCGGCAGTCATGCAAATAAAATGGGGGACATTTTCGGGAATAGAAAATGTGAATAAGGATCTGATAAAGAAAGTGGGGATATGTATTCAAATTCTTCTCATCTCAAATGGCTGTTCAAAATGTAAAATTTAAAATGTAAAATAATAGAGAGAAAAATAAAAATCAAAGGGTGCATAAAATATACTAATAAGAATTCTAACTTAAATCAAAATATGTGACAATCGCTAAAATTCTCATATTTCTCTGTAGGAAATCATGCCGATGAGGTTTCGAGTTAACTAAATTATTAAATAAACAAAAAACAAATAGTTGCTTACATCAATTGCAATTAAGGAAGTATTAAAAACTAAATAATAAATAGTCAAAGTAAAAATAACCCACTTATCAATAATTCTCATGTCAAAAACTTTGCTTAAGCCCTCCGCTTTTATCAAAATTGTTCTAAAATTGACACCAATGCATTTTAGTTAATTCCAACTTTTGTTTATTATTCCTAAATAAAGAGAATTCTTGTTAACCAATTACCTTGAATTCGTTTACTTTTATATGCTGTTGCACTTAACGGTCTTTATTAAAATTCAAATTTTACTCGCTACTTTTTCAAAACTCCCATTTTGTCAGCAAATATTTCTCTCCCTTTTTTCTTCATTTTCTCTCTGCTTTTGTAAGCAACCGGAGAGCGAAGGAATTCCGGTTGTAACTCCGAAAATATTGTTTATTTGACGAGTGCGCAGACTCAACACTTTTGCCGGCAGGATTCAGCAACAAATGTTTATGCTCAGACTTGTGATAATAAAAAAACTGAACCGGAACCATAGCTATATAGTAACTTAAGATAAATGATTTAATATAATAATATTAAGAACTAAACTTAAACTTTTTGAGTAATAATTGTTATAATGATAAGTTTAATTTTATATTAATTAGCAAATCAAACATGTTTATGTAGAAATTACACCAGAATTTAAACGTTTTTATTTATTTCTGAACTAATTTAACTTAAGTCTTATTTTCATATATTTTATTTTCTTATTTTTATTCCAATAAAACAAATATTTACCCAATTACTCTAAGTTAACTTAATATTAAACTAGTAATGATTTCAATTGAAATGTGTGTGCATAAATAAATTAAACAAAACATTTTTTAATTATGTAAGCTTTTGGTAATTTTTATACCCTTGCAGGGTATTATAATTTCAGTCAGAAGTTTGCAACGCAGTGAAGGAGGCACCTCCGACCATATAAAGTATATATATTCTTGATCAGGATCAACAGCCGAGTCGATCTAGCCATGTCCGTCTGTCCGTCTGTCCGTCTGTCCGTCCGTCCGTCTGTCCGTCTGTCCGTCTGTCCGTCTGTCCGTCTGTCCGTCTGTCCGTTTCTACGCAAACTAGTCTCTCAGTTTTGAAGCTATCTGAATGAAACTTTGTAGTTAGCCTTGTATATACTCTCACTCGTATATATGTCGGAACGGGCCGGATCGGACGACTATATCATATAGCTGCCATAGGAATGACCGGACAATTTTTACAAAAAAATTTTAACTTTTTCAGTTTTCAATAGAATTGAATCAAATTTGAGATATAGCCATTTTACTATACTCTTCAATTTTGTACGAAATTTTATAAAAATCGGACTACTATATCATATAGCTCCCATAGGAACGATCGAGAAATTAATACAATTAAATTTATAACTTTTTTAGTTTTCAGCTGATTTTCATCAAATTTGAGGTATAGCCATTTTATATAAGTCTTAAATTTTGTGGCAAATTTCATGAAAATCGGACGACTATATCATATAGGTGCCATACAAACGATCGTTTGATGTGGAGGAAAAATGCAAATCAGTGAATGTAAAACTGCAAATATAATATGTATAGGTGAATGAAATGAAAGCAGGTATTACTTCATTGTTTTTTAACACAAATATATATAATTTATATTGTATGGATTCCTATTCATAGAAGTTCTATCTGCAAGGGTATATAAACTTCGGCGTGCCGAAGTTAGCTTCCTTTCTTGTTTTTTTTTAACTTCAGTGACGTTAGTGGTACTTTTGTATACTTTAGATTTTTTTTTAAATCCTTTATCAGTTGTCCTGGTCAAACTTATTTACAACTTCTTACTGTCACTTTTTCGCTCTTTCTCTCTCAATTTTATCCTGAACTTTGCCCCGCTAGGAACAGCTGATTTCCCTGCAGGAATTTACTCCGAAAAGTATCCTTCGATTTCCCCAGACAAGTTGAAAAGCCGAAATAAAACGAAGAACTCAGAACTCACCACACTGGCGAACATTGCTGTGGACTGTTCTCGGTGGCTATTTTCCAAAGGACCCCCAAACGCAAAGCGTTCAGTTGAGTTTTGGTTACTGCCGCCAACGGTTAACGAACTGAAAGTGAGCGCGTGTCGGGCTTTTCGACATGAAAGCCAACTTCGTGGGCGATTGGCAGGAAACATAAACAAACCAAGTACTTTCGAGTGTGAAAATTAACGAATTTTAAAACATTACGAACATGCGCCAGCTAGACTCTGGCCAAATTTGGCCAGAAGCGTTTAGGCCGAACAATAAAATGTGAACTTTTGCCACAACTCTGTGGCTTGCGTGCTTGGGGTGTAGGAGGAAATGTAACGAATTGTGTGCGAATAGAATACTACGAAGAAGTCGAGCAAAAAATCAAGCAACACGAGAATATATATCCCTATATATATATATATTATATATATATATATTCTGTGGAAGTCGCTCCCCATCGCGTGTGCTGTGTGTTTGTGTGCGGGAGCTGGGCAAATAAATGCTCTTGCAACGCTTTTTTAGCCAGTTTATCTTAAGGCGAAATACTGTAAAAAATCGTAAAATGGATTTACGTTTCGTATTCATCGTTTTCCTGCTCAAGTGGACCCATGCACAAGGTAAGCAAGCGGGCGTTGAGGAAATAAAAACATACAACTCAAACTGAATAAAAAAATAAAAAATAAAACCCATCCTGTCCATGGATTTACTTGCTTCCTTCCCTTGCATTTCTGGGCGTTTGCCCGGCATTCTCTGTTTGTGCACCTGCCACAGCGTCTCGTTGTGTGGACCCTCCTCCTCCGCTCCTCCTGCCTTTTCCCCTTCAAGTGCAATTCAACCTGCCTGCAATTGCAAATATTCCATAGAAAATTGCTCAACAGAGAGAGAGAGAAGTGCCAGCTCGTGAATGTATGACATTGTATGGCTGTGCGATCTCGTAATGAGTTGCATTTAACTCCAGCCAACTCACTTGGCCGAGATGTTTTGGGAGCCCGGCATATTTATGATGATTGCCGGCAAGGTGTTGAATGGGCATAAAGCTTCAAAGCCCGTCCAGAGGAATCCCAGGGATGTCAGGGATGAATGCATCTGAATGCAGGTTTATTGATAGCTTGCGATGTCTGGGACTCAGACATCAAAAACATAGATATCACAAGAAGCAAAATTGGGTTTGTTATTGATTGCTAAAAATCTTAATTCTACCATTAATAACAAAATAAGTTTAAATAGTTAAATATTACTAGCGTTGAGATTAAATTAGTAAGTTAATATGTCGTATAATGTCAAATGATCTTTGAATTCAACTATTCCTATGCAATTTTTTATTTTCCTTTTTTCTATTTGCCATTTTGAAATTTTAAATAACTTTATTCGAGCTTTTATAAAGTAAAGGAGTTCCAAAAAAAATTACTTTTTGTATAAAGTTTAATCATATTAGCTCTAGTACGTTTTCTAAAGTGAAATCTTTTACTAAAAACAAACATTTTTTGTCTTTGTCTATTTTCTTTGGCACTATTTTTGTTGTATAGATTTAGTATCTTATTCAATACTTTTAGTCATAATAATAGATTAAGATGCATCCAATTAAAACAACCATTCAGAAATTAAAATACTCGAATAAATTCCCAACAAATCTGTGGTTACAAAAATATATAAGAATTTTCCTTTTAATTGTCACTGCTGTAGAATTTCATCTCCGCTTAGAAATTTAGAAGTAATTTCAATTCGCAACTTAACTCAACGTAAATTGCCAGATTAGCATATTTCCTGCATTTGCATTTATTGGCCCAAAACTCTTGGATAACTTGAGGCATTTCCAGAATCATTTCATCCGTCCCAACATACTTATGTACGCAATGCATTGATTACTTCCTGCACAGAGCCCAAAAACTTTTGCCAACTATAATTCATAACTCTTGCTTATCTCACCATTAAGTTGTAGCCATCAAATGGGAATTCGTGTGTGCAAAACTTTTATGCCAGACGCAAAACAATTTCCGCAGTTCCGTCGTGTCCTCCCCCAAGTTTCGCTTCCCTCAAAAGCATCCTTTCTGCCAGGGAAACAAATTAGTGGAAAATGTTTTGGGAAGAAACGAGAACGAGAACAAGCTGGAAATCCCCCTTGGGCTGGCTAACTAACCGAAATGAGTATGAATACGAGTCGTGGCTTCCCAATGCGAGTGGCACTTACTCAGGGCCATGACTCAAGCGAACGGACTGCTTTTGTTGCATAAAATATGCGCATTTAATAAGGGGGCTCCCACACTCCCCGCGTAACCAGAATGAATATGTAAATGTAAATGCTAGCCCACAAAATACAAAAAAAGAGGAGAAATCGTTTCGGGCCCCGGCCACAAATGATACAAAAGATATTTCATATTTTCCGTATACATATACTCGTACATATATCCCCATGCTCTCGTACTTGTGTACATTTCCATTTTGCCGCTGTTCAATTTGCGTTCTTTACGCTCCACTATCCTTTTTTGGTTAAAGGCCATTTTTATTATGTAGTTCAGGCATGTAAACGAATTCAATTGAATAATATCCTGTCATTTTGTTGTTACATCCTCTTCGGGCCACCCATTATCTTCGTCGCCCCTCGGCCTTCGAGTCGCCCCGCGACTCTGCCATGTCAGAGTATATATCAGCGCACAAAATCCGCCAATGCAGGATGAAGGATATGAAGGATATGGAGGATATGGAGGAAAGAGTAAATAAATAAATCCCGACAACACGCGTGTCGCGCTGCTCCTGCGTTTACCTCTCTCCCGTCAGCCGGCGCTCAAAAGTATGCAATAAATTTGAAGCAAAAAATATATTGGCATTTTAGTGGGTTGCCTGCATTCATACGTGGGTTCCGGCGATGTGCGTGTGTGTGTGTGTCCAATAAAAGAAAATTAAATACTTTTTGGCAAGTATTTTTCTTTGAGTAAATTAAATCATGCCTTGTTTGCTTGCTGTGGTTTCTTTATAATATGAATTGTTTCTTTTTACCGGAACTTCTTATTATTAAATATTAAAGTTATTCCATGTTTAAAATTTAAAAAGAAAAATATTTTGAAAGCCAACTTCAGAAATTGTATTTTCATATATGTTTACTTACTTTTTCTATAAATAGGAAGAATATAAATGTATTAAAGTGCTTCACACCTATTGTTAATGAAACTGTATTCATTGCTTGTGATTTATAATGTATATTATTATTTTTTTAAGTGGTTCTTTCTTGATTAAATATAATTGGTATGTACCTTTGGTAGTCCTTTATTCTTTAAACCACAAACGGAATTTATGCGGTAATTGTTGGTTCTAAAAGCCATTCGTTTTTATGCTTCCTCTGCCCATATCTGTTACATCCTTTTTGGCCCAATTTGTATGCCATATTCCCGCTGCTTGCCATACTTTCCGTTTTAACTTTCTTAAACTTTGCTTAATTTATAAATTATGCATTTCATGGACTCCGTTACCAGGCAATTATCATTTTCATGGGAAATTGTTGTTGGGCCGCTTGTTTCGGTCTCGGTCTCGCTCATTTTTGGACGGCCCCTAGAAAGTAGGCTACGCAAAATTAATTTCTACACAGAGTCCTGTATCTGTATGGGTTGGCCTGTGTGTGCCTCGGCATGTGCGTGTGCTTTATTTATTTGGCTGGAACTCAAGCAAAGGCAGCCCAAGAAAGGACCCGACTGGAGTCGGTTGTCTTATATTTTGGTCTCGTGCCTGGCGGCGGCCAAAAGCAAAGGGCATAAATTTATTTGGCAAAAACACAGGAACAACTGGGAGTAGTAGGAGTAGGAGTAAGAAAAAGTTTCGCAGACCGGAATATTAATGAGTATTTAACCTAAATTGTTGCTGCCTTTGATAAGTGCCATGAAATATTCCCCATGTATCTGCCACGCTTGTGATTCCACAGCTCCCGAATCTATTTCTGCCGCTTTTGCCCTGCGGCATCAATGGCAGACCGGAAAACTTGCCATATCTTAACCGGAATGTGTGTGCGGACCTGGGCAGGGTCTTCCTTTCCAAGTCAGGCATTAAATTACTTTAAAAGAATGGGGGAAAAAAGGGTTAAATTATTTTAGATGTCGGAGCGGACCCCAGCGCTTGCCTTTAAGACTTTCTCCGAAATAGCTTCAAAAAGGACCTGAAACGAGTTTTGCTCTTTTGCGTCTGGGTCTGTGGCGATGTCTCACAGGAGAATAGGTATTATTTGGCCAGCCTCTAGTTAATTGAAAAGCCGAAGGTATTTATTCCTTGAGGGAAGACGACCCAGGCAGCCAGCCAGTAATAAAGTAATATGGAATTAATTTGAAGTCTATTAAATATTGAAATATTTTGAAAATTGACAGCCAGCTGGTAACGTGAAAATATTTACTTGGGAGTATATTAGTCACAGTAGAAACTGGGAAGGAAACATCTTTATGGAATGTTTAAATATTAAAATATTAACAATTCAATTCAAAGCTTATAATTATCACTACTTTACTCATTATATTTTCAGTTCAATGTAACTATTTTGTATTTCAAAACCATAAGTAAAACAAAAATGCTATCTGGTTATGTAATTTTTGTATAATTCAACAAATTATAATAATTGTTAGTTAGTTTAAAACCTATAACTAGTCACCTGTTTATTTAAGCCAGCTTTTACTGCATTTGCAGGCACAATTCCCATGCAAAGCAATTACCAGTTTCCACTTGTGTTCACAGCGTCGGTCCTGGCAAATTGTAATTTATCTTAGCCTTGGGCCAAAGGACAATACAGCCAGATATTCCTATTACAAAAACAGGCTAACACACACACTCACAAAAGAGACACATGCGAGGGAAAATTTTAATTAATTTCTGCATCAATTGAACGGCTGTCATAATACAAATAGACGAGAGAGGCGCACAGACAAATGCGCTTGTTTATTTGTTTGTGGGGCAAACGCACTGAGCAAACAATGGCCACAAAAGGACATGCAGGATGCCATTGAAACCGAACAACTATGGGTCCCTGTTCTCATAATCGCCATATTTTGATTAAGTTAATTAAGCGATTTCTCTGTCTCTCTCTCTGGGAGCCTTTGTGCCACGGCCAAAACAAGGCTTATCAAGGCTAATCCTCTTCAGAGTTCTCCCCTCGCCGGTGATTACCCGCTGAGCTTCGAGTGTTTGCCATGTGAAAACATAATTCATTTCATTATGATCCAAACTAGGCCAACAACAATAGAACAGCGGGTAACAGAAAGTGCAACAACAGCAATGAAAATAACAACATCAGCGCCAAGGAGCGGGGCAATTGAGCCTAATGAATTGCCATAGTAAAAACAAGGCTGAAGCAGCTGCCAAGGCGCTCTGAGGCCATCAAAACTTTAATGTGCTCGAGTTTGCCATTAAAAATGAAAGAGGCGAAAAAATTACCACTCGCAAAAATACAGGAAACAAAAACATCAACAAAAGCCAGGAGAGAACATTTCCATAATGAACCAAGGCGAAACTTTCCCACTCTCGACGATGGACGAAAAGTTTTGGCCAGCGTATTTCGAAATTGGTTATTATAATATAGCTACGTAGATAACATTAAAAAACAATGGTTTTTTTTTAAATTAAAAAATCATGAAAGGTGCTTGAAAAA